AGAGGACGAAGCAAGAAAATATTTTCAGCAACTTATTAATGCAGTTGATTATTGTCATAGCAGGGGAGTCTATCACAGAGATCTAAAGGTAATTGACATTGTTTTATAGTAACATATAATCTTATATTTTCAGTTTCATAGGCAGCTCATTGTACATTATCTGTTTGCTCGTGTAGCCTGAAAACCTATTGTTGGATGCCTCCGGGAACCTTAAAGTTTCTGATTTTGGTTTGAGTGCTCTGTCTCAGCAAGTGAAGGTGAACATTAGATCGTGGCTTATGAATTTTTTTTACCTCAGTCGATCAATTTTAACATTCTTCTGCAATAGTCTTATGACATATTTGTTAAAGCATACTCGATAATATTATAGAAGAAAAAGAAGTTAAAATTGTGTCCGTAGTACTGTGATGTGAAGGATTTGCATAAGAAAAAATTTTAAAATATGAAGTGGATAATATAACCTTGTCAAAGAAACTCTGTTAATTGTCAATGACTTCCTGAAAACATAGAATTTGGAATTTTGTGGAGAAGCTTTACTTATAGTTTATAGATTCTTTTCGGAGATATTTTTGTATGGAAATTAGTAGATCTTCCTGAATGATGAAACAACTTGCGGCGACTGCAAATATTTTTTTAGCAGGGTCAACTGTCTTTCTCGGCAGTTATTCCATAATTTGGCCCTTAGTAAGGGCAAGAAACGTGTAAATGTGTTGGATGCAGTTTTCTATGCATGACCAGCTGTTGTGGTTATGAAGTCAAGTAGTTGACGACTATGTCAAGAAGTGAAGTGTATTGATGACACTCTAGGCTCCAAGGGTGAAGGATTCAAATGGGGTAAATATGAGATCTGAGTTTGTTATCGAGGAACTTCAAACTAGAAACCTGGCATGCAAAACTTGTTAGGCTTATGATCAGTTTTTAAACATATATAACTAATAATGTCATGGCCATCCTGTTATGGAAGGCTCGTCACTTGATTCAAAAAATCGGGACATATTTGAATGAAGATGGATCGATTCTTTTTATTTCTTCAAGTTTTTGTCTGGTCCTTTCTGGGTCCTATCTTGGGCTGATCGGAAGGAAAGTGGATGACTGGACGTGCAGGCTAAAATAAAAAGGATGCGGTCAAATAACCAATCATCCATTAGTCGTTTTGAAGAAGGATATTTCAGTAAAGCTACTAGACAGAAGGAAATTGTCTTGGACAACACGGGAATGCAAAACAAACATAGTTATTGCATTTACTATAAACCATACGATCAAATGCATGCTTTGGACTCATTTTGGTTCCATGCACAAGATATTTGTTATACTTCACCTTTACTTTCCGTCATTTAGTCGGAGCAAAATAGAATCCTCACAAATTTGATTTAACAGGATGATGGTTTGCTTCATACTACCTGTGGAACTCCAAACTATGTTGCTCCCGAGGTACAATTAGTGAACTATGTACTTCATTCCTGCACATATATGCACTGCTGCTTTTTTTCACTTGGCTTGAATAATGAGATTGCTGAACTACCTCGTTTAAGAGCTCAAGCTTTTAGAAATGGGACACATTTATTTAATTAAATTTAGTCTTCATACAGAGATGAAATTATGTGTAGGTTCTAGATGATCACGGCTATGATGGGGCAACTGCGGACTTGTGGTCGTGTGGAGTCATACTCTTTGTATTGCTTGCAGGTTACTTGCCATTTGATGATTCTAATCTCATGAACCTATATAATAAAGTGAGCATTATGACTGTTAAATCGTGTTGATTATCAAGTTTTCTCTGTTTTTTCTTTGGTAGCCTCATCGTCTCCTTTGTGGCTTGTCCAGATCTCTTCTGCTGAATTCACTTGCCCTCCTTGGATATCCTTCAATGCCAGGAAGTTCATTACTCGAATCCTGAATCCAAATCCTATGACTGTAAGCATACTGTTTTTTTCATGCCAATGCAAGTTCTCTTGTACATAGAGAATCTAAAGAGTTAAAATATCTTGAATCCATCAACAATGTTCATTTCTATCTATATGGTGACTTTGTTGGAAACGGAAAGTATAAGTTTTTCCGTTTAGAGAAATTCATTAGGAAGAAGAAAAGAGAAGCTTAGTATGTTCTTTGAGTTCCAACTTGTGCTTTTTTCCCCCTTTCATGATTGATATGTTTGTCCAGCGCATTACAATCCCAGAAATTTTGGAGGACGAATGGTTTAAGAAAGACTATAAACCACCAGTATTTGATGAGAAAGAAGATACAAACTTGGATGATGTGGAAGCTGTATTTAAGGATTCTGAGGTGAATTTGCGGAGAAAATGAACCTATTAATTACCAACTATCTATGATTAACAAAAAAAATTTGTTGAAAAATACTCATGGACTGCACATCTATTGCTTACTACAGGAATATCTCGTGACAGAGAAAAAGGAGCAGCAGCCAGCAGCCATGAATGCATTCGAGTTGATTTCTATGTCAAAAGGTCTCGACCTTGGGAATCTGTTTGAGGCAGAACAGGTTGGAATTTATTTCTTCTCTTCATAGACGTCCCTGGTTTCCCGCATTGGAGTTTATACTTGTTAAAGTACTATACTGCCTATTAGGTCTAGTTTCCACAAGGACAAGATCAAAATAATGGAGACTAGCTCTAATAATCTCTTTTTACAGGGTTGCTTCTAATTGGATCGGATGCCATGCTAACATAAGCAATCATTTATTTCTAATGTTAAAGATCATTAAGTAATTATGTAGATTTTTGTTTTGAGACATTTGGCTAAGTTACTTTTTTCTTACTTTAAAAGAAAGCAAGTTATTTTAGAAGTAATTCTTATCTTACCATTCAAATAAGTAACTTGCTTCTTTCTAACTTATGCCAATAAAAGAATTATTTATTTGAAAATTTAGTTATTTACTTGTAAGTACAATTCTTAAGCTTAGCCAAACATGCTTGAAGCTTGAATAGTTAAAAAATAGAATTTATTTTGTGTACAAAGGTGTTTTCTCTTGCCGTTTATCTTTCGTTTCTGACTCTATTAGTTGCAGTCATTTAAGAGGGAAACGAGGTTCACGTCTACACGCCCTGCCAATGAGATAATCAATAAAATTGAAGAAGCTGCAAAACCTCTCGGTTTTGATGTTCACAAGAAGAATTACAAGGTACACGATCTCGTATGCTCGTGTAGACTGCGGTCATGTTAATAGGCAGTGAATAGTTTTAAGTTCGTTCGATATCCTTATACTAAAGCTATTCATTTTCCATAATTTATCACAGATGAGGCTAGAAAATGTAAAAGCCGGAAGAAAGGGAAACCTTAATGTTGCCACCGAGGTACGTCAATGCTGACTCCAATCAGCTGTTTTACTCGAGTACAATTTAAGCTCGAAAAAAGTAATCCAAGAGTTCGTTTTATATTTTTCTTTTAACCAAGATTTGTTAATCATATACGTTATGTTCAAACTGTTATGCACTTGAATCAGGTTTTCCAAGTTGCCCCTTCTCTGCATATGGTTGAGGTGAGAAAGGCAAAGGGAGATACTTTAGAGTTCCACAAGGTACCCAGTCTACAAAAATTATGTTTCGTAATACTTATTTAGTTTTGAATGAAAAAATGAAGTATGATCCGACAGAACCTTATGGTGTCTTTTTCCAGTTTCTTTTACAGACTTGACTGTGTTACTGTATTCTTTTGATACAACATAATTAATATAATAATCTCTCCACTTTTCTATGTTCGCTGTCTGTTTTGTAGTTCTACAAAAACCTTTCAACTTGCCTTGAGGATGTAGTTTGGAAAACCGAAGAGGACATGCAAGAAACGAAGTAGAAACTGATGCTGTTAAATGAAGAGAACGAGTTTCGACCTCGTTACAGCGGTGTAAGAGCTCTCTTTCTTCAACATTTTGGCTTCCATGCATTGGTATTTTTCTTCTATGAGGGAATTGAGGTTTAAAGCTGTTTTCAAATGGGTGCTGGCTGTAAATGGAAAGATAGACAGCTCTTGAAGAGTTATGGTATGAATTTTCATCCTTGGCAAATGCAATCTCAACTGTAAAACGGGACCTTCTTGTAATTTGGTTCTTCTGAAATGACCTGTTCTTCAAAACATAAAGTTTTAATAGTCTTGGGATGTATTTCTGGAGGTTGGGTTTATGTCCTTCCCTATGCGGGTAGGGGTTGTGGCACTAAGAACCAAGTCAGGATAATAGTAAATGCGTCAGAAGAAAAATTACTAACTTCAAAGAATCCGTGAATATTTCAAATAGCATCAAAGTTTAAGAATTCAAGAGAAGAACTAGCCGTTTATCATTACTATAGGTGCCAAGTGGGTGCCAAGTGAGAGTGCAGTGATGTATGCAACTGAGGTTCAAGCAGTAGACTTGAACAATCCTTACTTAACTAATGCAGGTGATCGTCACGCAGGGAAATATACAAGGAACGCTGAATAATTTTCCTCTATATGCTATATTTATTGTGCAACTCTCTACAAGATCTAAACACAAGCTACCTTGATGGTCTTACATCTTTTTCGTTCTGTCAGGGTTTACCTGACTGTTGACACACGTTCCATCTTATGAGCTCCGCTGTGAATTCTTCGAAACATCCTTTCTAGCGTGGCAAGTACCTTCGTAAAAATACAAATTCAACAGTTTCAAGTAGTTCAACATGGCATATAACAATTAGCAGAGAAAACATCCTATGATAGTACTTTGGAGCCACAACCGTCAGCATACACAGATGACAAGAATTCCAATCTTACAGACTTACACTATTAAGAAGATATTCACAACCTTCTAATCTACATATAAATTACAACAACATCGCGAAGGGGATAATGGTTCTTTTTTGGGAGATTAAAAGGGATCTTAATCCCAAAAAATATGTTAATAGTACTGACACCAACATGAAAGAACAAGAAAAGTTACAAATCAGTAAAACCTTTTTAACTGACTCTTCCATTCCATGGACAGCATCCTCTTTTCATCTAATGATAGCATGTAACAAAGTTGACTCCCTTGTCTAAGAGGTGGATATGGCAAATAAAATGTAGACTGCAACAACAGACGTCAAATCTTTCATAGTACACGAGGAATTAAGGTTCGCCTTCATCCCTTTGCCATAGGCAGCAATGAGTAGAGCCTCAGCTCTACCTGCATGATTCCAGAACCCAGAGCATTATAGCATAACTGGGACATGCTGATATAAAAAGAAGATAAATAGTCTGATATAAGATCTTATATTTGCCATCACAGCAACCCCCCTCTTTCTCAATCATTGTATGCCTGTGTTGCAGGGTGGGTATGGAATGAGTGTCCCATGACCACCTCATCTTAAAGTTTCTTAAGGAAAGAAAAGAGTTCATTTATTCTTCGCACCATCTTACAAGCAACTTGATTTTTCTCTCTAAATGGACCAAGCACATACAATTATCATAACAGGGAGCCGTGATACTTGATCTGCGGGCATGATTACTTCATCTAAAAGCTTCAACGTGGATAGGGGAGAATTCATATGATTATGTATTCAAGAAAAGGAAATGTGAAATTTAAAATGGTAGTTTGACGAGCCTGAAAAAAAATGAGAAAAAGATTTGCAATATGCCCATATTCCCTAGGTAGGCTTGAGGTAACATAATAATATGTAGAAATGGTGTCGCAAGTGCCTTTTCTTGATTCCACCTATAGGAAAAGGGCAAATATTCCAAACTTTTGGCATATGGTAACAATCTACCATCAAAATCGACACAAACAATATATACAAGTCTGCAATTGCCTCCCTAGAGAAATCTTCAATGCCAGAATACAGAGACAAGGTAAGATCAATTTTTTTGTTTTGTATCTTTTGAATCTATTTACCAAATAATTTAAAATTGACACAGGAATATTGCTCTGGATTGGTGTCAAAAGAGACCACCTGTCACTTGAAAGATTCACTGCCAAATGGTAATGACCTTAAGAAACAGTCGGTGCATATATGATACGCAGTAATGTTCATCAGAACGTACAAGATTCTAGTTTCTTTTTCCACGTCTTCAAACAAGCCATAAAGGGTCAGGCCTGAACACTATCATGCTATGCGCCAGTGCAGTGTGCATAATAGTAAAAATAAAAAAAGGCTTATTCAGACAAAGGCTGTCTTTTGGGGCACAGCATGGATGAAAGTCCCGGGTCAAAATCTATTTTCATTTGGGACACAAAAGATTTTCCCAGTGAACTCTCTCAAGCAAGTTGGCATGGTCGTTCAACTCCAAATCCCATAACTACAACAGAAAGACAATCTCGGCAACAAGTCTACATGGTAATAAGAGTATACGATGATCTTTCTTCCTTTTCAACAGGGAACTCAAAGAGGGAAACAGAGTGGAAGCAAGCTTTCTACTATCATCCTGTCACAAAAAGTAATGGTAGTCATATTTCATTTTCGAAGCATCATGAATACTGGTTTGTTACTCGTATACAAACTTTGAAGGTTTACATGGTGATCAATCTGTTCCACAAGATGCAAGAAAAGTGGTGATCTCATGAAGCATAGAACAGAAGCAGCTGAATATTAAGAACCATACAAGCTCATTCTAGCCTGTGAAATATCAGACGAACCTTACTCGAGCCGTTCCCTGCAAGTTTAAACTCATTCTTCACAACAGTGATGGGCTGGAACAACAGAAAATCCTGGGGCAACTAAGGTTCCAAGCCATAGTCCATATCCAAATCCCCCTCTCCACCATCCCTAGATGGAACCGAAAATGAATTTCAGATAAATAAGACAAACAAACTATAGGATGGAACAAAATATATGCAGCGAGGGTACCTATTTCATAACAAAGAAGCAACTTTAGAAAGGAGAGGTGCCTATGAAAATCAAAATTAAGATGAAAAAATGGCAACAATTGTCCAAATCAGATTCATTATAATTCTTTTGACACAAATACACATTCAAAGGAGAAGAAGACCAAGTCAGAGATATGGTGTTTAATGAGATAGATAGAAGTTAAAGAAATTTGGCTAGCTACATATCTTAGTGAAGAGATATAAAGGCTATATGGTCTCTTAAAAGGAATTGGGCTGATATTTCAAAGTGGTGGTGGATTACAAGTCAGAAGCATAAAGCATCTGCAGCCTTACCAGGTTCTAGTTCAACTCTGTTGTGGGATCATCAGAAAAGAACAAAAATATAGCTAGCAGGGATGGCTTTAGCAATATTCTGAAGAATCGAATATGGCATGAAGGTTATAAACGCGAGATTGCAAAGAGCGAACCATATAAAAGGCCAGCTGAAAGCAGTGGATGTGGGAAAAAAGAAGACTTTTCTATTAAGCAGAAGTTCTGAATCTGGAGGAGTCGACTTGAGATGTCTGTAATATTACTAAGAAGATGAGGCTATTGATTAGGAGAGATGGAGTGCACATAGCAAGAAAGTAGAATAGTAGAGAAATTTCTTGAATGGGGAACGAATTCAAGAAATTGAAATTGGCAGCAATCATTCAATTACAATAGACACAAGGAGAGATGGACGACACTAGCAGATAAGGAAAGAAGGTTTGCTCTGTGACCGAATAAATTTGACATTTATTCCTATGCATGAGGAACATGGCAAGATGGATTTTCTGTAATAGTATAGTGGTTGTTCTTGGAGGCCCATGATTAATTTCAGGTAATATGGTGGCTTCTCTGGATTGGCAGGCTTTCAGATAATTTGGGAATTTCTTGCCGCTTCAAGCAACCCTTAAATGAGAAGTATCTACCTTTCCATGCATCTTTTAGAGCACTCTTACTAACAGGAAAGAATCAAATTAACACGATTGCAAATGAACCATACAGCGCAATAAGCATCTTTAGCTATTTTGAATTTGAGTTCATTAATTATACTATGCTTTGAGACACACAATGGGGACAAATCTTAGAAATGATCCAAACTTAAGATGACAGAACCAGAATGAATATGAAACTAGTGTGCAACGTAGATTCCTTTAAATTTGACACTTCAATGCAACACACCAAAACATATTTTACTAGATGAAAGGTCAAATTTATCAACCGGAAGCACACATCATGCATAGTACCAGAGTTTTTGAGTTAATATCATAACCATAACAAAAGAACTAAGAAGCGCAAGGTACACGAAAGACAAACCTAATAACATGGAATCAGTAATAGGAATAGTAATGTATAGCAACAATTTCTGAGAGGAAAGAACAACATTCCTTTCTCTGACAGATTTCTAACCTGCTTACCATCTTGTGGATATGGAATTGATTGCTCGATATATGCAGTGGTTCCTGAAAGTAACAAAATCTCAACACAATCAAATTACCTTTCAACTAAAGATGAAGGTCCAGTCAAGGAGTATATTAATATTGAATTCACACTACTCATGACAAACAAACAAAAAATTGGATAATTGGAGGTAAATCACCTTTTGCAACCCCGCCCTAACAAAAAAAGAATAAACTCCACTTATTCCATCATTATACCAAAGGGTGTACTACTATTACATTGCCGTGTATCAAATCAACGGCTTACTAGGTATTAAACTGAGTTTTATATGCAAACAACAACTTGCAATTGTAATCCCAATTGTCACTTCTCCACAACTTTGACTGAGTTTTAAAAAAAAAAAATTTGCATCCAGCAGCTTCAAAAGAAGTTGAGCAACTTTAAATAGACAAATGATCTCGATGTTGTGGTTGAAATTATCAAACTTCTATATGAGAGAGAGAGAGAGAGAGAGAGAGAGAGAAGATCTCGATGTTGTGATTGGATCTCTTTTCTGAGTTGACCAGAGAATCCAATGCAACAACTATCCCAATTCAAAAATCCTGAGTGCACACTACACAGGTGAAAGGAAACAAAAGCAGAGATATGCACCACGTAATTCGTTGTTTCACCCATTGTACGAGAGAGATCTGGAAAGCATATCCATTTTCAAGTGCAAACCAACAAATTAAATTCTACATATTGGGAGGTCAAAGAAACTATCAGAGTATTTAGTAATTACTTAAACAATATTGCATGAGAATATAGAATATGAAATCTCGAAAACTGCTGGATTATAATATACCAATAGGAGCGTTAAAACTTTGAATCAACTGAACAATTCACTTCGCATCTAATCGCTTCCGCACTCTTTTGCCAATCAGCACTTTCAAGTGAGGAGAATCAAATACCTACAAGATTGGTGAAGAGAAGTTAGGTGAAATAATTCGGCATCAACGAAAATAAATACTATTATGAAATTTTTATTCAGTGATTAGGCCACTAGTTTATGTTAAATAAAATTGGAATTGACAAAATAAATTGTTAAATTAATATGAACAGTATTATTGGTCACATATATATTAACCTGACTATACTCAACCCTTTCATATATGATTGTTATTATTCTGGCACTAATGTGTATTACAAGGTTAGAACTTGGCAATCGATCATTTAGAATTTTGAAAGATACCATATAGGATCAAACCAAAGGGTATAATAAGCATATATGTTTGCTAGTGGAGGAAAGAAAAGATAAATGCTAACAGGACATGTGTTCAGCAAGCTACAGAGATGGGCAGGGTCTGTTACACTGTATGGTATTGTTCTGTCTATATTATAAACTTGGATATTACAACCCTTCTCCAACCAGAAAGACGATATTATAACACAGTTTGCTTTGTAACTCCTCGTTTGGCATTATCCTATCTCTTCAATATTGTATTTTTAATGGTCCGACTGTCCAAAAATTCCAAAAACAATGGTTGACTCTTGGAAGGAACCAAGAAACGTCCAACTCTCAAAGCATTTGCACAATTCCAAATGTCGTAATTAAATGAGAAATCATGAGCCAAATGGAGTTAGATTCCAATTTAAAACTCCATAACCACTTTCCCACCAAGGACATGTTGACAACAAATTCCATTACTGTAAACCAGCATGAGCCTTAGTCTTTGTAGAATATCAAATGATCCTTTCAATCCTCAGCCATACTTTCAAAAGAAAATCCATCATTCATGCAATGATTTTGCCACTCCCAGTTCAATTCATCTAATTATAAGCATGCTACTGAAACTGTCAAGAGCCAAAGTGAATAAAATGGACAAATGGAGAACCCAGATTAAGACTCTTCAGAAGTAGATAAGATCTAGAAACAAATGGATGGGATGCTGGAATCACCTCTAATGCTACTTATAATAGCCCGCTGAAGTTCCTTTCACAGTTGAATTCTCTATATCTTCCTCTGCAAAGCCTCAAGATCGATAGTGGTTCTAATGTTCATTTTTGGGAGGACCCTTGTCCAGACAATACGTGTTTGTTTTCACTGACTTATCATCATTCATACTGTCTTTCCTGTCTTCATGATGCTCCAATTTCTGTTTTTTATAATTTGGGCAGCTGCATCGCTTTCTTAACAAACGGGATTTAGAGGATCTTATACCCATGATCAATTCGCTAGAGGAACTGAAAGTTGATTGATCTGGTCTACTTGTGCAAATCTTTTCCTTTTGAGCTTATACAATTCCAATCTCACTCTTTGTCCGGTTCAAGTCTTGAATTTGGATATCTATGGTCCCTTCCCAATAGTTTTCTAATTGAGGATATCTTGCATCTACTCAAGTGTTTCCTTCCTTCTACGAATAAGTGGTCTTTTCACTAAAAATGATTACTGGAAGTCATGATTCAAATCTCAGTCCCTGTACCTTGGTTAGCCAAAATCAAACATTGGCAGCAAGAAAAAATTGTCATGCAAGATTTGTCATCAAATTTGGGCGAATTGTACAACTATGTAATCATCCATGTTGATGAACCTAAAAATGACATGGGCTAATATTTATGACCTGTAATTCATGCAAAAAAATATAAATGAGAATCTAACAAAATGGTCTAAGATTGCATTATATGAACAAAATTCTTAAATCAGTGCAAGTTCGTTCAGTCACTACAAAGCAAAATCGTCGCCAATAGTACCGTATTCGTCAACTAATAAAATCATCGGGTTTTAGCATGGCTACGGCTCCAGAAACATCCGGGTCAATACCCACGACCCAACTGGATGATTCAGATCTGGCATTGCCGAAATCGGAGTTTTTCAAGCATTTATTTTCATTCTCATCCAAAAAGGGCAAGAGAGGGAGTCGAGCCAGTTGAACTTTAGTTGCTGGGCATCTATAATTTTACTAGCCACGGTGGAAACTTTGGGTGGGGGACGAGCTAGATCGCTCCATCAAAACGTGATTCGATTTGCTCTTTTGTGGAGTTAGTCACTCGCAGCGCATTTAATATCTATAAAAATTAAAAATACATATTTTACTTATATTATACGAGTTGGCTCATGAGGCAACTCACGTGATTTGCTCGAGAAAATTGTTGTTTGAGCACGAGTCGGCGAGAGATTCGCTCCAATTAACACCCTTGACGTCGATGTAATATGATCATTATAATTCCCTTTATTTCGTAGAATTGAACTCCGATGTTAAGGAAATTTATTGGAATCTTGAAGCCACTCAACTACCAAATTTAGCCCATGTTTGAGCTCTATCATACTTCACGTTAGTCTTTAATTACCCAACTTATATTTTTATTTCAATTGATCAACGTATATTGTAGTTTCAAATTGATTGTTTTGATATGATATAACTTTTGAACAAAGTGTTGCGTGCAAGAACATGCATGAAATGAAATGAGTTCAACAAACTTGGCTTAGAGTATATTCGCGGACTTGGCTTAGAGCATGCTATTGATTGCATTTGTGTTACTCTGTAATTCGGGTACTTCTAATTTAATTTCGTTCTTAATAAACTACTACAAAACCTGCAACTAAAATGGAGATATATTTTCTCTTAGTTAACATTTACAAAATAATAATGTTATTTACCATCAGTGGTGTTGAGCACCAGTTTTGATGACTATATTTAATATGTTCAATTAAATGAATTTTATGACTTTACATTTAAGTGAAATTTATCATTTAATAACATGCAGTCGTCACATAAACTGATGTTTAACGTCAATGATATTAAATAACATTACTCTTTATAAAAATGAAAGACATGGAAAATGTTATGAAAGTGAGGCATCATTGTTATTCTAATCAATATGGGGCTCCTCTCACTTTAATGGCCCCCCAAAAAAAATTAGGAAAATGATATAAGTACTAGTTAGGGGTAGGGTTAAAAAAATATTAAGCCCTTATTTGATAGGGATTGAATTTATCTTAATTTGAGTTAAAGTCAATAATTAATTTAACCACGTGTTTTATGATATTTACAATTTTTCAACTAAGTATTTTATCAATTTCTATTATAATTCACTAAAAAACGAATTTTAATTCCTACCAAACATGGGCCAAAACATGTTAGGTTTCTTTATATGTGTTTTAAGGTGAGAGTAGGTACCAAGTGCTTATAGTATGAAGTTTTTGATAATTGGATTAGTTGGCGTTTTATAAAACTTTGTCAAAATTTAACCATTTTTCAGATAAACTTAAATTTCAATCACACATTTTATGAGATCTACAATTTTATCAACTTTTCAATTGTAATTTATTAACTTTTTATCAAAATCCACTTAAATTTATTTTATCACAAGCTTTGTAAAAAACCCCTAAATAAATTTCAATTGAGAGCTGTGAAATTGTATTATACTATTATTGCTTAGAATAAGACTAAACCAAATTTTTGTAGCATGAAAGAACTTGACCGAAAGAGGACCAAAACTAAACCATTATCACTTAGTCTAGCCCTATCCTTGTATGTTTTAAAAATAAACTATAAAGTGTAACTTATCGTGCAAACACTATTGTTACAGTTACGCCTCTTACGAAGAGGCTCTAGATCGTCGCCAACTAAGCAAGTCACCATGGTCTGCGCTCCACGTCACCCCGCACCACCGAAGTGCTGAGGTGAAATAGTCCACCTGTACATCTGTGGTTAGATCGAGGCCCAAAATGATACGTCTCGGAAGGATATACATCGAAGTGTCAAGAGGTAGAACGACATTGCAGGAACAATATCACGTCACGTTGTCTATATTAAATAAGAGATCTTTTATACAAAGGTCCAACCAAAATAAGATCCACACGATTGATTGATGTGATATTTGTGCAGTAGACACCAAAAGGTCAGTCATTAGGGAGCATGAAATGCCCGTCCACCTAGGGACTGATTTATTGATACCTAGAAGAGGAAACCTCAACCTATAGATGCGACTATGTGTACCTCCATCCAACGGTCCCAAATTTGTCTCTTCCTCTATAAGTAATTGATAAGTGTATTTTCTTCACTTATTCGGGGCTTGATACTATAGAATTTTATTGTTCTTTTGGCAAAATATGACCTAAATTTTATCACGTTACATCTTGTAGATAAAACTCGATGTTTGATGAATAATTGGAGAAAAGAAGCAAAATGTAGCGAAAATTGCGAAATCCAAAGTTTGAGGATTAAATTGCAAATACTCAATGATTGATTCAGACCTCAAAAAGATACTTTGAAAATTGTTAGAAGACAATTGGATGGAATTAGAATTCAAAAATGAATGAAATATGATCAAAATATTATCAAAGTCAATTTCCAATCGCACAAGATATATTCCAGATTTTTAGCGAATATTGAGACCCTTTTTTGACATAGTAAACGTCTGAATTAGAAAACCTCTATTTCTAGTAAAGTTGTATCATTTTGAGTTATCTTTCCAATGCACTTTGAAACGTCTCAATCGGATATCGGGAGAGAAAGTTATGACTAAAATACTGACTACTGTGCAAAGGCAAAAAAATCCGCTCACGGAAAGCAACTTTTCTTATTCGATTAGAACTCTTTTGAAAACCAGTTTGAACGCGATTTTCAACCAATTTTTGACTCATACAAATAAAAAATAGCAAAATACATATAGAGAACCTCCATAGACATAAAAATCTCTATATTATACATATTTTCGAAGCGAAAAACGAGTCTATACATCAATTCAAAGCGAATTATACAAGGATTTTGAAGATTCATAGCCCGATTTCAAGATTTGAGTCAAGAACGTGAATTTTTCCTATTTCTTCCATCTTTTTTTATTTTTGGGTGATGTTTTTCCAATTATTCTTGTGTAATTTAATTATAAGAAGAATGTTATGCTAAGTTTTTCATTGTATTGGATGAATGATGAACCCAATTATTTATTATGCTAAGTTTTTCATTGTATTGGATGAATGATGAACCCAATTGTTTATTTATTTTAATTCTAGAAAATTAGTTTAGTATTTCTTGATTTTTCTTGATTGATTTTGCATTCCTATTGAACTATTTGATTGTTTGATCACAATTAGATAGTAAGTTACTTTCTGTAGTGTAGGAATACTCACAATAAGTCTAGAACGCGGCAAAATCAACACATGAACAATAAATATTAGGAATAATATACATGTCATGTACAATCATGTGTGATAAATCATGTGAATCAATTCATGTTTTCCATATGAATTCGGACTAGGAATAGGATCGGGTCGTATTAAACACATGTTTAATTTATCTTGAAAAATAATATTAAATAACAGTGGATTATCGATTGTCTTAAATTCCTGAATTTACTAGATTACGAATTAAGAATTGAATTAAATGGCAATATGGGGATTCATGATTCAAATACAAATATTTACATAATAAATAAATAAATACTTCATTTGTTTTGTTAGTTTATAATTAATATAGATTACATACAAATCATCTCTTTTTGATATTACCACATTTCGAATTTAATAGTAGCTATTGAACTACAAATTAGACCTTATTCGTCGTGGGAACGATACTCTTAACTCACAAATCTTATTACTTGTACAACAATCCTGTATGCTTACTGGTTTCACGCAAATAGTAATCACACTCAACTTTCATTTTAGGTAGGGCTATCTGTAGGTCGATTCAATTCGGTTCAGTTCGGTTCTGAAGAGAACCGAACTGATCCAAAACTTTCGGGTATTTAATAAATGGAACATCGGGTCCAAATGTAATTATGGAACCATTCGTGTTCGGTTCGGTTATGTTAGGTTTCGTACCATAATTAATTTTTTAATATTTACAGTAACACTACATAAATACAACTAATGACATTTCATTCGCAACTTTTACAAATTAACGTAGCCCAATTGAAAAACATATAAATAACTAGCCGTCCAATAAAATTAATCCAATGCATACAAATAATAAAAAGTAGTTATTAATATTACAGCAACACTACATAAAGTAAATTCATTTGTTTCAAATTAAAATGGATTAATGGGCTTTAAAAATTATTTGGATTTTAAAATTAAAATTATGAAATGATCTGATTTATTTAATTAATTTATTAATTTGTTTAGAAAAAAATAAAATAATTTAATTAATTCAATATAAAAAATAAAAAAAAATTATTTAGTTTCGATTTTTCGGTTCTTGGTCTAGACCCGAGACCAGACTCAAATCAATCGGTTCTCGATTCGGATACCCGTTCGGGTATTTAACTTATGAAGAACTGCTCGGTTCGGTTCGATTTCTGTTCGGTCCGATCCGATTCGGTTCGGGACTTTTGGGCACCCCCGTTTTCAGGAGTAATGCAATCCTATACACTTAAAACACACACTTTCTTTATTATCTTGAAATTAAAGTATGTTATTTCCTTTGTTCTTCAACATTAACTGGTTTGATTGTCGGAGTACTCGCGGTCGCTTCCACCATCGCTGGAGAAGGCCGCAAGTGACTAACGCTTTCTATTGTGTGTAGAAAGTTATTCGCATAGAATATTTACATGTTGACCACGTAACCTGCGGGAATTGAGGTCAACAGTTACACTTCCACTTATTTCGTTTTCGTGTGATAAAAGTATTGTATTTTGAATAGATATACTGAGTTTTTATAATTTAAATGAAAAATTATAAAAATAATAATTTGGAGCTGAATTAAGTGAGAAATTGATCACAACCGTTTAATCCTCGATTCTAATACTTGAACAAACAAACAGGTAGTTGATAACTAAAAATGACGTAACAAATTTAGACAAAAAATTTTAATTCTTATACTTATTTTCAACCACACATTTACACAATAAAAT